AGGAACAAACATCACCCAACGCCAACAACGAAGAGAAGCCAGAGAAATACGTCGCCATCCTAAAAAAATAGAACAACCAATAGCTCCACAACCAACAACCAAAAACACCACCAAAACAAAGAACAAAATAAAATGATCCAACATCAACAGAGTATGACCAAACTATTTCCTTTTTTGCTTCCTCCTACGACGTTTACCACAACCCAAAGCAAAAGATGTTTCAATAATGCGGTTACCATTAAAATTATAACTTGCCTGAACAACATCCTCAGGCTCATCCAAGTCATCCACATCACTCCTGCATGGTGAAGAGTCAAAATCATCAAGCCAATCGTTTTGCTCCAAACAATTGTTTTCCAATTTACCCGCCAGTTGGGCTACCAAAGCCTCATTAGAATTGAAAAATACTGGAATGTCAATAAGTGGTTCCAACAAAGGAGAGACAGAAGTAGCCTCAACACCATCAAAAACCTCATCAACTAAAGTAGGCGAAAGAATAGGGGTATCTATAAGGTTATTAATACAGTTATTAGCCTCCAACCCCTCACAAGCCAAAGGCACAACAACCATACCTCAACATTAGAGTCCACGACATCCCCAGCCCCAGTAGTTAAAGGAGGAAAATAGCCTCCAGAAACATCAGCAACCTCACCATCCAAGCCCCCACTAGCCAAAGTCATAACATCCTCATTATAATCAACAAAAATATTATTCAAAGGCATGATAATCTCATCATCATCAACACGAGCATGATTCAATGTAGCATTGTCCACATTGCCCCCAACATTCCTAGTGCCAACATTAATAGAATTGACAATATCCACAATAGAGATGGTTTCATTGCACAATGCCACATAAGGAACATAAGAAACAGGAATTCTATCATTACTATCTAAATTATCCAAGTTATTCAAACCTCCCTCCCCAGCATTAACAACAACATTACTTGGTGGGGCAGTCGGATCATCCAAAAAACCACGGTCGACCAAACGATTAACCGCCATTCCGACCAAGAGGCCAAAGGTGGATGAATTAAAAGAAAACTAGAGAAAAAAAGAAAGAGGGGGGGAACTTCCCTGAACTTTGAATGGCGAAACAGGTGCTGGCCAGCGCCACCGAACGAAAGGAGAATGGGGACGGAGTAGGGGTTTGATTAAATTTTAAGATTAATTGTAAACATATAAATTTTATAATTCTACTAATTGTATTACTTAGATTTATGGTTCATTTGGGACAGCTTTTTTATTGCTTCTTAAATCAACTTTCTAGCATAAAAAAAAATTGTACAAGAAAGCTGCTTGAAGAAGCAGTAAGAAAGCCTTCCCAAACGATTCCTTAATCCTTAAGGAACCTACAAATTTCTTTAAATATGATGATTTTCTTACCAAAATTACATTTGATGAGATTTTCAAATTTCTTTACTATTGATGTATGCCCAAACTGAGTAATGAACATAACTAATTTTTATTTTTCTTATGAAAAATAATTTTTAAGCTTCAAAGAATCAAAAGAGTCATTAGAGTACTAAATTACAAAAAATTAAGATTTATCAAATCTTATTCGGGTTAATTTATTATTTTTGTCTTGGTAGCATGTCCAACTCAACCCGACCCATAGATGAAAATTTTGAATTGGCAGGAGGTCAAAAGACTCAGAGCTAGGTCATTTTATCTTCCCATTTATTTTTCATCCCATCATTTCACTGCTCACATTCTCTCTTGTTCGATATTTTTGACGCTTTATTGCAAACATGTGTAATCCTTTGTCATTCCAGACCATGCAAAAGTTCACCATCTAAGAACAAGAATTTGATGCGCTTTTGATGTGCTTTTGCTGCTTATTCACAAGTATTAATCTTGTACCAAGTTCTTCAAATTTCAAAACTAGGTTGCATAGCTTAAAATGGCTAAGTTATTTTCGTTCATTTTCATCTCATTTTAACTACGCTTTAAGTGCACTTTCATTGTGCTTTGGATGCACTTTCATGGCATCGACATCTTCAAATTTCAAACTATGATGCATAACATTCAATTTTTTGAGTTGTATTTGCTCATTCTCACCATTTTTACTGTGATTTTACTCTACTTTCACTATGCTTTTACTACTCTTTTACTGCTCTTTTGATGTTGCGCTTTTCAACCGTGCTTTGCTGTAATTTTAAAGCTACACTTTTACTGCGTTTTTATAGTGCTTTGCTGTTACTTTTTTTTTCTCCGTATGTTCGACCAGTTAAATATCATTGCTATGTTTCAATCTTCCAAACTATTTGCTATTGATTTGTCGAAGTAATGCCCAAGGGTGTTGAGGATACACTAAAAAATTTAAACATCTACAATTTTTTTAAATTCCCTTCATTCTAGCAAAATATTCCTCTAATATACGAGCAACTAAAATTTTGGGATATCTCTCAACAATCCTTCATCATCAAGAGTCATTTGTTCAAATTCACAGCTGATGACGTGGCTATGCTCACAGGTTTGTCCAAAAGAGGTGTTGAGATCATATGACAAGATGAGTTGCTTACAGGAGTCTTATCTACTAATATTAAGAATGGAATGATATAAATAAGCTCATCAACTTACCTAATAGTTATGTTGAAGATTTTTTTAATATTATTTGTTTTAAAAAATTTTCCCCTCAATAACTTAAAAATCCCAAGAAAGATCATGTCTATTGCAAGTAATGTAGATGAGTTCTCATCTATTAATTGGGTCGAAGGTATAAAGGAATTTTTTTCCATGAGTTCAATAAAACTACCACCATGTTTGCTATAAAAAACCTCTTGGTTACATAAATGATTTTGTACCACTCATAATTGTGAGAGTTAAGAGCATTTAAGTCTCATTCTAATTATTACTTTGTTTTACTAATTAATGAGCTAATAATATATTTGATCTTATACTAATTGTATTTGTAATCCTCATCATGTTCATTTCGTTGTCAAACCATTGTCACCCTCTCTAAGCCTAAAAAATAGTCAGTTATAGAACTTATAGGCTTTGAAATGTCATAGCACACATTATTAGTAGACTCACTATGCTATGTGGATAGAATGTACATGCTAGAATAGTTCTTATTGAATGTTACTAACAATTTATTCCTTATCCTATAAAGATCCTCCAATAAATCTTGATTGCGGAGGTTCCCTTTTGTGATCGATTTAGCCCATGCTTTCTCAAACTTCTCCTCAAAATAACATTTGCTTGAACACTCACAGAAGAGTCCTCTAACTTTATCGTTGCTATTGAAGCACTTGACTTTTGATGGAACCTTTTTAGATATGTGCCATTGATATAATCTATGTCGAGTGTAAGGTAATATAACTTCTATTGCTCTAACTATTATTTGGTATGATCATTAAATATTGTTATTGAATATTTATCACCAATTATTTGTACAAATGTGCTGAACAATCATGTAAATAATTCAATTATTTTTTTCTAATAAAAAGGCTACCCAAGAAAAATATTTTGTCAATGATTATTAACCACGATAAATGATGCACAAAAAAAATATATTTATTAAGCCTATAACTAGTATAAAAAAATTACCACATATCCAAAATAATCATAATATATCATACACATCCCATTAATCTAAAAAAAATTTAACAGTCTATCAAATTCATCAGTTTGGATGCCTCATGCAAACATGTTGACGTCAACTTGATGATCTTTAAATATTTGAATCAAAGAATTAATATATCCAAATTCAATATTTGCTCCTTTCTTTTTCTAAATAAAGTTGAATGCACCCCTCTTAGAGAATCCAACATCCTCTATACCTTCAACTTCATCTACGAGGTAGGAAAATGCACCAATGGTTCTTATCCCGACTTATGTCATTGATTTAAGAATTGAAGCTTTATCATCATCAATATTCCTATATGATCTTAGAAGATATCAGACTGCTAACCCAACCAATTCATGATTATGGGTTTCAAAAAAAAATTTTCACTTTCCAATTTCTAGCTTCATCCTCTATAAGCTTAATCATAAATGAACAACCCATTATGGTGTCTGAATTTTGATATTTCGTTTGGGAATTCAGATCAAATTTCTTCTAGGAACCGGATTTTGAACAGACAAAGTCCTTGTATTTTATCTTTATGGAATTTGGCCAGTAGTTGTGGTGATCCTTGCACGCACTTAAACTAGAACTATGGGTATAATTGTAGTAAACCTCATATGCTCTTTCTCATCCTTAAACACACCCTTTCAATACACATTAAAACCAGAATGAAAACGCAATAAAAGCGCAACAAAAAATGCAATAAAATCTCCCAATTTTTTCCACACAGCAATAAAGAATGCAGTAAATACCCAATTTTTATTGCATATCATAAAGCTTTTATTGTGTAACCTAGCTTTATTACATTTGTACTGAGATTTGATGCACTTTTTCTATGCAACTAAAGCCAAGTCTAGTACAATGCTTTGTTTTAACATGGTCATTTTATCTACACATCATAGCCCACGTAAAAAAATATAAAAAATTGAGAAATTCTTATAACAACTTGGGATGAATTAAAAATTAACCGAAAGTTAAAACATGTAGCAACTCCAACCAAATTAACTTTCGTTTCCTGGATGTCTGCATAGCTACTTTCAGCCTCAACATCCTGTGAGCATGCCATCTACGTGAAGAATGCAACGTTTTTCTCAATTTTCATCGGCTGTTCCTCAATTTTTCTTTCTCAGTAGATATCAAAAACTTCACAAAAGTTTAAAATATATGAATTCAGGAGTTTTCACGGATTTTTTAGTAAAATGAAACTCCAACCCTAAATCATTATTTTTCCAAAAGTAAAAAACTCTAGATCAGATCAAGCTGAATGGGCTAACTAAATATAAAGAAAAAATAAAATTTAATTGAATATCCGAGTGTCCCTTTGATATTTTAAGATTTAATTCGACTCCTCCCTTAAACTAAGTTACGACTACGCGCCGATTGCAGAATAATTTCTCGTATAGAAGACCCCTCAGGCCTCGGCAGCCTCAGCGTCCCAGCCCCCTGGTCGGCTGTTCCGAGCTCCTCTATCCCGCCTGCTTTAAATTTGTATTCTGCGGTCGGCGAGCAAGAAATAATGGAGACTCATTTGCTTGAGCGGTTTAATCTCCACCTTCACGATCCCTCCGACGCCCAGGCCCGGCTTCGAGCCCTAACCTCCGCCAAAGCCCTACTCGCTAACCCTAATTCATCCGACTCTACTCGCCGCGCCGTTGTCGATGGTCTCACCCGCTTGCTTTGCAGTGGCAACGCCGATTTCACTTTCCTGCGCTACATCATCAAGCTAATAGGCGACGTTGCGGCTCTCGACGGAGTCTTCGCACCCTCTATCATTGAAGTCCTTCGGCCTCTCCTTGTAGGAGAGGAAAAGCTCGTGGCGGACGCGCTTTCGGCGCTTGCTTCCGTGGATGGCTTTTTACTGGAGGAGGGTCTAGTGCTTTCGCTTGCTTCGAGCCCTCATGTGTCTGTCAGATCGATGCTTGTTAAATTGCTTGTTTCGAGTTTGGATTGGGATAAGAGAAGTATTGTGGTTATGAAACCGCATTTCATGATTCGAGTGCTGCTAGGGCTCGCAGAGGATCTCTATCCACTGATAAGGGCAAAAGCAGTTGATAGCCTTGCTTTAGTATGCCGGATAAATGAGTCTGTGGTTGGTTTTCAGACTGTTAAATGCTTCAATGATTGTGCTACATCATTTCTACACAATGACGAGGAATTAATAAGATTGTCTGCTATTAGATTGGTGAGGAAATCTTCCTACTTTCATGCGAAGCTTTTTTTATCACTTGCGATGGTGCAGGGAGGATTGTTTTTTTAGAAAAGTTAGTTATTGTGTACTTTTTTGGGGCTTTGATTTCTTTTTTATAAGCAGATTAGTGCATGCGGTCAATTTTTAGCGAACAATAAAGGGGATACACGTTATTGCGAGCTGACGGATGCAATCTTTGCTCAGGCAAGCTGCTACAATTTTAGCGAGTTACTTGTTTAGCTTTTTAATGCCAGACAAAAAACATAACATGCTACCTTGGTAAAATTTGCTGAAACTTACACATTCTTTCCATTTCTTCCATTTCATGGGATTGTGTTACAAGCCTCATTTTCTACTCCAATTAAGGACGTTTCTGGTTGCTCACTTTGCATTATGCTACTCCTATACCACCTGCAGCCAATATGCAGGAAGATTCCACGAAGCTGATAAGATTAGTGAATGCTAAGAGGATCTGGAATGTTCAGTAAAAGTCCACTAATCCTAGCTGTTCCTTATGCTGGGTGATTTGTTGTTGATTGATTCGACTGCTAGCCTAGTATAACTGTCAAAGGTGGTGCCTTCTCCTTTGTAAAAAAAAAATCCGGTTCTTGGAAACATATCCTTAATTTTATGTCATAAGAGTGTAACCCTTTTTTTTTTTGTTTTTTTCTGACGTGCTACTTGTAACTAAATCCCCTCATCTATGGTAAAGTTGGGTGGATTGTTGATTATTTGGTTCATTGAGGGAATTCGATTGTTTGGAGATGAAATAGAGAATTAGAGGGAGTAGAAATATGGTAAGAGAGTTTAAGGTAGAGAGGGCTCCTCATACACCCTCTGTAATACGGAGGTTCTCTTGAATGAAACAGAGTTTCTAATACCAATTAATAATTTAGTGCCAACCCGTTTGCCATTGCTCTAAATTTCTTGTTGTTTGCGTTAATTGGATCTCTCTTTCATTGATCTTCTTGTGGTTTTAAATGAAGTTGGTATCAGAGTGCAATATTTCTTTGTAAAGAGAGGTTATAAGAAAGTAAGAGAACCAATTATTTTTTCCCGAAGTTACTATAGACAAGGTGGATGGAGGTATATTGTTATGCCAATGCAACAAGGATCTAAAACATCCGGTGAATTGGCTAAGTTGTGATCCTATAACAGTAGATGATTATAATGATGAAGACACTCAATAGTTAAAATTTGACGATGAGCAGACGATTAGTTGCCAAGGAGGACTGACCTTGGATGACGGCTACATTGCCATGCCTATGATAAATTGAAAGATGCTCCTGAACGGTAGTTAATGACTCGGAAGAAGATAAAAAAGTCCCCACATCTTCGTTTGAAAGGCGAAACCAATGGCTAGCGGTGGATGCTAGAATTTTCTTCTTTACCTACAATGATTTGATCAATTTCAAGAAGTTGGACCCAAGTAAATCAACTTGAGACTTATTTTAGTATTAATGATTATTCATTTCAAGTGAAGATCTTATTCACCCAGATTAAGCTCACTCACCATGCATTGACATGGTGCAACATGCATCTTTGACATGGGCTATATAATGTCACTTAAGTGCAATTCAATAAATTGCTTCGCTAAGAATTCTATTCTATGAGATATGAAGAAGAACAACCAAGGAAGTAACATGGGTTATGTCAACGACAAGGTCAATCTATGTAAGAATGCAATTAAAAAAAATGCCCTTGATATCAATGCATTATTGCAATACATGCTTGTTTTACAAATTATATCGAAGGTTTGCTTTACAATATTTATAATAAATTGATACTATTTCCTATCAAACTCATATGTCAGGAGTTTGCTTGCCATGACTATCAAAAGGAAGAAGAGAATTCTTCAAGTTATAGATTTAGTAGATAACTTTGAAGTTTTATTGGAAGAAGAAATTGAAAAATCCTCTTTTCTTTAAGAAACTATCTGTATTTCAATCATTGCATGATCACTAGACACTATGAAGAGAAGTGCTTGAAACTTTATGCAAAAGCAGCAAAACTTTTCTTAGAGAATTTCAAGAAGAATGGATGCAAATGGGAAGAAGTTGGCCATTGTGGTGGACTCAACACAAGTGTTAGAGAGAATGAATCAACAATACAATAGCCTTTACTTGATGGCAATGCTGAAGGAGAATGAGCAGAGCCCAACACCAGCCTTTGACGTGCCTTATGTTACCTGGTCAAGTAGGAGGTGATTAATCCCATCATTGACATCGGCAGTTAGAATATATTGATCTATGCAAATGTAATAAAGCAGATGTAGCTAGAGATGGCTCTCGTCCTTATCAATTTCTCTTCGATGGATTAGGAAGAAATTAAATATGCAAAATAAATTAATAGTGCTACATTCACTTCTCCATTGCACGCATATATTCCAATTTGGTGATGTTTGAAGTTGTTCATGTCGACATTTGCCAAATCATCTTTGTACCCTTATAACTATTGGACTAAGATGTTGTTTTCTTTGAGAGGGTTCAACAATATTTGACTCACTAAAGGTGACGTTAACTATACTTCCAACAAGAGCAAGGATTGCCAAACTATGAATATGGTAATAGTTCGAAGGGTAAAGAGAATGATAAATGCATGCTAAATATTATTTTGCTCTTTGTTTGTTTGGAGAAGACAATCTATAATGCAAGTGCTTTGGTTCAAATTGAACCATATAAGATTGGAGAATAGCTTTCTCTCGGATTCTTTGGAGTTAGGAACAATGTTATTAGTGGAGGGTTATCAAGTATTTTTCTTAAAGCCATAAGGATTACCTTCATGTCGAGTAATTAACACAAGATTAAACTCCTTTCAAATTTCACTCTGCTCAACATTGGGATGTGCCGCACCTTAGCAGTGGAGAGAGGAGATGAAGAAGTGCTTGAGTTACTTGACCAAGGAGTTATTAGGCTAAGTAGCTCGCCTTGTGGACTCCCAATTGTAATGGTGCTTGAGAAGGGTTGTAACAGAATCATTATGAAGAGCATCAACTAATTCCCTGAGTAGATGATCTGCTGATCAATTGAAGCATGCAATCATCTTCTCTATGTTGGATCTCAAGTCATTTGTTCTTTCATTGATTATGTGCTTCAACTATGTTAGTGTGAGGAGTTCTTTGATCTCTATCAGCTTGACGATGACTTTAGAGAGATCATAGAAGGAGCTCAGGAAGAGGAGTGCACCATTAGATTACGATTATTCTACAAAGGAACTCAACTCTATGTTTCAAAGGTGTTGACCAAGTAAAGTGGATCCATGAAGCACATGCACTCAACATGACTGAACACTTTAATTTGACTAAGACACTTCATAACTATTGGCCAATTTTCTTAAGGTATACCAACCATGGATGCTTTTTGATGTGGCTAAGTTTTTTAAAAGGATGTATACTTTGCTGCACATCCAAAACTATCTTATAAGAAGTAGGGTATATATTGTTGTTGAGTTTGACTCAATGAAGGATGCTTTTTTCATGGACTTCTTAGGAGGGTTACTAATGGCTGAAATGATCATAATTGCATTTTGTTGTGGTGGAAGATGATTATCCTTATTGCATGCAAATTTAACGTAGTAAGAGAAACAGAAGCTTGTCATTTTTCAAAAAATTTGGGTGCATTTTTTAGTCATGAAATCATCTTCCATTCTGGATACTTTAAAGAAAGTCACCTCCCTCTTACTAACAGACAACTACATTGAGGTTGCCAACAGAACTATTGTGTATTTACTGAGCGAATTTAACTCTAGTTGCCTGAAGAAATCAGGTGAAAGATTACATTACATCCAATTCACTTTCTATATGACAATGTATACTTCAACAAATCAAAGTTCATTGGAGGTGTGCTTGGGGTATCTGCCTCAAAGTCCATTTGACCCCCCACAATTGATTAGACACCATCCATCAATGGGAAGGACTACATTATTGAGGAGGCTTAGATTAGTGGTATGAGTCAGTCAAGCTGACTCGTGAGCTAGCTTTTAGTCTGCTCTATAAATTGCTCGTGAGCAGAGCTCGATAAGCTAATGAGCCAAGCCGTTTCTAGTCCCGACTAGAATCGTTAGCTGTCAAGTTGACTCGTTAAGAATAATTGAACTCTACTTGAATTATTTGCACCCCTAGCTTAGAGGTTCCTAGAAGGAATTAAAAAGATGCATGATAATATAGAGAAATGAGGAGCCTAGGCACACTAAGAAGAGTGCAGGGTGGGGGGGGGGGGGGGGGGGGGGGGGGGGGGGGGGGTGCGGGCGGTTGTATTTGGCGGGCATCAGAACTATCAAACTTCTTTAAAAAATCTTTCAACTCAAAACCATTTCATTCAAGAAAATACAATCAAATAAATAATTAAACTCATAAACTAAGCATTTACAAGCGTGCAAGGATAGGCATGTAAAATATATAAAATGTGATAAACTAATGTGTGAGTATATAAGTATTAACCATAATCTAAATAATATGACACTCAAAGAATTTTGCATACATCTTTTTATAAGCAACATAACCTACAAGTGCACAAACAGAAGTGTCTGCTGGTATGTAGCAAAGATTGGCTATATATAAGAATAATAAAATTACTAGGCTCAGTACAATTAATTTATTCAACCACTCATGTTTACGATTAATTTAAATTAATTAATACTAAAGACACAGGTGAGTGTCCACAAATAAATAGATAAGGTGATTGGAATGACTATGCTACAAGTGAGAGCAATAACTTTTGAGCTCAAGATTAATGCTTTACTCTATGCAAGGGCATATACAAACATTAAGTGTGTGGTTAAACCCAATAACATCCAAACTTGCTAATCAAACAAGTAAATGTGTGATATTAAAAGATCTAAATTAAAGAGCAATTGACACAAATATTTTTGCACGGCTTAGCACTCAAGCTACCTCTACATCCACATATATTTTATTCTTGAATCATGATTTTGCTAACCAATTTTGCCCATGTATGCCAAATTCGTTCACTTCAGAAGTAGTTGGATAAACCTTCACAATTATCTTCGTTTAAAGGTAAGAGAACTCACTTCTTGTTCTGACAAGAACACCTCAACCCAAGCTTTGCAACATAAAGACATCTTCAAGTTTTCCAAGACTCAGACACTAACAATATTGCAATAAAAATGCAACCAAAATCTTCCAAGGCTTTGATGGTGAGGTAAGGCTATCCCTTAATAAATACAAAACCAAACAATCTCTTTAC